TGTGAGATGATACAATTCCTATATGATGAGACGAAGTGAAGTGAATGACATAGGCATTGTGACGTAGCATTCCAAGTGGGAAGGAGCAGAATGGCGTGAGATTTCATCATGCTACTCAGAATGGCACCAATTAAAACATGAATTGTTTATTTCTGGAATTTTCCATTTAATATTTTCGGACTGCAGCTGACCCTGGGTAACTGAAACCATGAAAAGTGCAACTGTGGTTAAGGGGAGACTGCTGTATGGCAGACTTAATCATTTGGGGGAAGAGGTAACATTGAGAGCACCATGAAGGTAAATGCGTTTCCGTAAGTATGGTGCGTTACCTCTTCCTTCTCATAAATCAGAGATTTAAATAAAATAAAAATGAATTTTATGAATGTTTTGTTCCATTTTTAATCAAAGGCTTTAGAAAAGATCTACTTTTAATTGATTCATTGTTGTCTCTTTTGGGAGGAGGAATCTTAAATATTGTAGTTCAATATGATGTAGTTCAATAGTGCATGTTATTCTATATTTTAGATCATCATTTGGTTTTCTTCAAACTCTTATTGACAGTCTGTCTTTGTGAACAATTTAAAGAAGAATGCTAAATCATGACTTATAGGCAATTATGTAAAGTCTGTAATTTACCTCAGGGTGTTTCCAATATACTAGCAGTTTATTGAGCAGCACCAAGCAACTACATCTGCGTTTATGGAGCCAGAATTTCCGGGAAGTGTAGTTATCCTTCTTTGGTACTTAAGCAAAACTATAGTTGCAATGTACATAATGATCTCAGTTTCAAATAAAATCTGCAGACAAAGCAAGAAGAAGCAACTAACATTGCCTTGCCCCCTCCCACAAATAACCCAAACAGTTGCATGTGTGCTAGTGTACTGTTTGTAATTCACGAATGCATTGACTGCATCGTAAAGATTTATATTTGTTAGTTCTGGAAATCTTGAAGAAACAGGTACTAACGAGGTATATTAATTCTTTTTGGGTATATTAAGTACCATACTCAATAGCCAAAAATAATTAAATATAATCTTTGCTTTTTTAGCAATATTATCCAAAAACTACTCGATCTGTTTAATTAGAGGAAATTATTAGTTAATTAGAAGAAACAGTTCTGAATTTCTAAATCACTGTGGGTATTTGGCATCTCAGGTTCTATAAGTTTAAAACTCAAGCTGCAGTTTTCTCTGCTAAACCACATCTTCCCCTGATCTCCCTATTCCTGTTAGTGGCAGTACTATTTTTTTAAACCTCAAAACCTCAGCTGCGTTTCTTGATTCCCTTCTCTGCCTCCATGTCAGGTTCAAATCCTTAGCATTTTCGTTGATTCCTCAGCTTCAACCATTACATATAGCTTATCACTAAGTCTTAGTGATTCTCTTTTTGCAATATAATCCCATTATATTTCTGTTTTCACCATTACCACCTTAGGTTAGCCCTTATTATTTTTATATTGTGGTAAAATACACATAACGTAAAACTTACCATGTTAACCATTTAAAAGTTTGTATACAATTCAGTGGCATTAGGTACATTCACAATGTTGTATAATCAACACTTTTGTCTAGTTCCAGAACTTTATCACCCCAAACAGAAACTCAGTATCCATTAAGCAGTCACTTCTCATTACCTCCTCCCCATTGCCCCTGAAAACTGCTAATCTGCTTTCTGTTTCTATGGATTTGCCTGTTCTGGGTATTTCATACAAATGGACTCATACAGTATGTTGCCTTTTTTGTCTGGCTTCTTTTACTTGAACATAATGTTTTCAGGGTTCATCCATGTTGTAGTATGCATCAATATTTCATTCCTTTTTATGGCTGAATAATATTCCTTTGTGTGTATACACCATATTTTCTTTATCCGTTCATCTGTTGATGGACATTTGGGTGTTTCTACCTTTTTGCTATTGTGAATGGTGCTCTATGAACACTTGTGTACAAGTTTTTGTTTGAACAATTGTTTTCATTTCTTTTGGGTATGTACCTAGGAGTAGAACTGCTGGGTCATATGGTAATTCTGTTTAACTTACTGCCCTTATTACTTTTCAGACCAGTATTTCCCCAATTATGGGAAAGTACTGGGGGCTTGCTGATAACAACATTTAATATCAATTAATTGTTCTCTTTTTAACTTCAGTCCCTCTGATTAGATCATAGAGAGTCTCAATTTGATATTAGTATGGCTTTCAAACACCTCACCAAGTATGTTAATCTCCCTTTTAACAAATACAGAGCAGGCCTGAGGCTTAGAACCTTTGGCATACAGTAGTATCTAGTTGGAATTTAGTATTTTTTCATTGTATTTCCTTTTATCGTTACGTTTTATTTCTATAGTAAGTGATACTTCACATGTACAGTAGTGAAAGTTTGCTTTTTATGTAAATGTAGACAAAATAAAGGTGGTACATAGAATTTTCAAAATATACTGAAGATTGATCAGAAATATGGGAAAAATTTGTAGATGGTATGAGAATGCCTTAAAGTTTGGGAAATACAGGCCTGAGCTAAGGTAACATATTCCCTTTCCCAGTCTTTCCCAGTTCCCATCAACCTTCTATGCAATTCCCAGAATAATTTAGAATAACTTGGATAGGGTCATTCTCTTGTTCATGAATGTTTAATGAATCCCCATTTTATAGAGAGTAAAATTCAAGGTTGCTTAGCTAGACATTTGATGTCCTTCATCCTTCATTCCAACCAAACCAATCTAATTATTATTTTCAAAGTTCACTGCGTACTTTCCTACCAGTGTGCATTTTTTCATGCCATTCCTCTGCTGTAAGTTCCTTTTCCCTTAATTTCTATTGCCATTCAGTCATTCCATTCTCAAAAATTTATTGAGGGTCCATTATGTGCCATGCACTGTTCTGTGGCCTAGGACTACAGTGGCTTTGTTATTGAACTTACCCTTGGGGAGAGCAGATATTAATCACAGGAGTAATTCTTTAGTTACAATTGCAATAATAGTGTGATGGAAAAGTAGAGTGTGTTAATAAAAGAAACAAATAGGACAACTAATCTAGTTGAGATTGAAGGGGTGGTTTCAAAGAGGACCTGTTGCAGAAACTGTCACTTAAGCTGAGATCTAAGTGACTAATAGGCATGAGTGAAGAAATGGGCAGAGGGAATAGTATGTGCAAAGGTACTGAAGTGGGAAGGATCTTGACTCAGGTATGTTAATTCTTTCATATGTTTATTTTGCCATGAAGAAATATAAGTATTTATTGTCTTCTCAATAATAATCTACTGAGGGCTGGCCCCATGGCTTAGCGGTTAAGTGCACGCGCTCCGCTGCTGGCGGCCCGGGTTTGGATCCCGGGCGTGCACCGATGCACTGCTTCTCTGGCCATGCTGAGGCCACGTCCCACATACAACAACTAGAAGGCTGTGCAACTATGACATACAACTATCTACTGGTGCTTTGGGGGAAAATAAATAAATAAATAAATAAAAATTTAAAAAAATAATAATAATCTACTGATCTATATTACTTTACTTTTTTTTAAAGTAAAATTATTTTTTAATATCAAATTTATCAGGTAGTTCAACTCAGTGATTTTTTATTTTTAAAGATACTCCAAAAAAATCAAATATTAGATCCAAGTCTTAGACTATCCAGGGAATTTATATGGAAGTCTCATTTGTATATAGAAATTTATATAGATTTATGATATGTAAAATATATTTATATTATATACTTATATATATGTGTTTATATTATACATATTTATATTATATATCATAGTATAAATATATGATATAGATTATATAGATTCATATACAAATCCCCTGAATAACATTTTGGCTTCTCATTGTTGCTTGTAGGCACCAGTCAAAAAGCCAGTCAGTAAGAGGGCCTGTTAGGTTCCAGACACCCTCCTCTTCTATTTACTTTTCTGTCCATTCTCTGATCTGCTTTATGGTTTGCTCTTGGATATCAATGGGAAGGATACACAAAAGATACATTAAAATTATTCTTTTGTTTTCAAATAAAAAAGAAATACCTGATTGTTTTTCTGGTAATTCTGTAACAAATATTTTCATTTTTTCAAATGTATAGGTGTTTATATAAAGAGTGCTGTATCAGCTAAGGTTTTTGGTTATGTGCAGAGAAACCAACTCCAGCTAGCTTCAGCAGAAAAGGAATTTAATTGGTAGGTGAAGAATCCAGAGGAAGACTGAAGAATCAGGCTTGGAAAAATGGACAAAAACCTAAGGGAACTAGGTAGCAGGAAGGACTAGCCAAAGTCATGCTACGGAAACACATGTTAGGAAGCCGTTACTGTAAGACTTAAACTGCTACTACTGCTACTTTAAATAATTTTCTTACTGATAGCATCTTCGTGGTGCTCGCTGGAGTTCAAAGTGTGTAGAGTAGGATCGGTCTGGCTGAGACCTTGTTCTGGCTGCCAGGGAGGATCTCCTTCCTTTAGCTTCTCCAGTTTGGCCTCCTACCAAGACTCACATAATAAGGGGTTTGCCCCAAGTAAGAAAGGGGTTTGAACCTAGGAAGACCCCTTAAAAAAAGACAGCTGTCCTTCACAACTACCCATTAAAACATATTTCTAAACAATTCTGTGTGATGACAGGTAGCTGTATGCTTCTTGAAATACCAGGTAAAATTGCTACAGGCATCTCAAATCTCTGGAAAACATATGATTGTTTTAAGAAGGGTTGTGATAGTTTATTAGAGAAAATTATTTTGATTCTTTTCAAAGTAAAGTATTTTAGATAGGCTTGAGTTTTGTATAGGCATGACTGAAAAAATAGATTATGTATTTTTCTAAGAAAAGGAATCACAGAAAGTAAAGGTGATTGCCAGATTGCATATATATTTATTTTTCAACATTTTTTTCTTTGATAGACAAAAACATTTTATATTTAAAATGTGTCCAAAATAGTGCTGTAATTTATAAGAATAGATAAAACCAAAATGCACAGTAAACATACATATATCCTAATTGCTTCAAAACATCTCAATAAAAAAAAACCAAGTTGTTAAAAAAAATCAAATTAATACCAGAGCTACTAATTCAGTTATGAAATATTTACACTCTTACCAGTTTCCCTTTGCTTATAATTTTTTTCATAGAAAATTTCATGAATTGCATCCTTTTTATAAAGCACAATGATGTGTAAGAACTTTTTTCCTAGGTATATATGTGCTATATGATTTTTGGGAAAAGAAATGTGTCTTTACATTAAAAATTATTTGAGGAATGTTTATTACACACATGGATGATGCTTTTGACTCACAAGGTCTTGAATCCAGTAATAATGTCTCCATTGTAACTGCAGATTGTAATGTGGAATATAGATCAAGTACAGACAGATAAATTCTAGAGACAGAAATGTTTTTATAGTCACAGCACAATAGTTAGAAGCATCAAATGTCCTAGTAGCTTTCCCTAACCTAGAATGGCATGAATATACATTGCAACAGGCAGGAGAAAGTCAGTTTCCGTTTGCAGAATTCTTATCATTTCAGTAGTGACAGTTAAACTTGTTCTAGATTTTCAAATCCTCTTTTCCAGGACTTCATACATTTTGATATTTTAAAAAATTCCTTCTTTCAACTTTCTGTAATGAGAAAATGAGTTTTATAAACTTGGGCTGTTCTTGTTTCCCGGTGATTAAGAGTTGACATGTAAAAACATAGCAGGAAAGGGAGGCTAATTATAACCAAAAACCCCTTATCAAAACTTCACATAGGATCATAGCAGAATCTTTCTACAATTGTTTAGTTTATTTTTTCAAAAGATCTGTCTTGGATAAAACAGATTATAAAATGGAAGTAATCTGGTAACCTACCTTGATTATAACGTTTGCTTGCTTCGATCTGGGATTTAGGCATCTTTGTCCTTTATTTGCTTTCAGGGTGATACTATTAAAGGAAGATCCAAAACAACCTTCAATTTTGGATGGAAAAACATAAGCAAAAAACCCGTAAAAGCCTCCACCATTGTCATCTTTAGAGAGTTCATTACTTACATCACTTCTATTTTGTCACAGTTGTTACTTTGGTAAATTATGGAGACTTTCTCAATATCTGCCACTCTCACTGCTTTTACTCCAGGGCCTATGCAAAGACAGCGTCCCCCTTTGAACATGGGGAAACCTAGAACAGATTATAGCATCAGTCACTAATGCATCTGATTGCAACAGGTGGCTATGGTTTATAATCCTGGTGAAGAATGTGAGCTGAGTTTTCATCAAGGGTAAAGATAGTCATTTGTCAAATAGCACTTGACACTGCTTTTACTGGGAAAGGAGCTTAAGTCAGATGTTGATGAGCTTCTCTTTAAATTTGTAAGCAAACCATTAAAGAATAAAGGGAAGCATGAAAGAAGTTTATTGGAGATCAAGCTTATTTGCCTCTTGCTTTTATGCTCACGAGTTTTTCAGGAAGCTAATAATGTTATCTCAGATAAAATCTTGTTAACAGACATTTAAAACTATTGCTAGAGGCTCTTGCCAGATTTTGTAGCCATATCAAAAATTCCATGAAGTTTATCATCTCTAGTTTCAATAATCATCTCTAGTGCCTTAAACATTTCCATTTCCAACATTTTCTGCCAAAGCTGTAGTTACTTCTAATGTGTGAGGTTAAATAAAAATTTAGTATATCTTTCAGAATAAAAGTGGAAGAAAAGACATTTGAAGCATTAGAAAAGAAATATGTAGGCTGAGAAGTAAAAAGTACCATATACCTTGAACAATCGTAGCGCAGAATATCACAGCCAAGACTATAGCCATGCCCTTCACGAAACTCATGTTTGTCTATTGCTGCTGCTTCAGCTTTGATACTCTTCTTGGAGGGAGTAGAAATGCTGAATGTGGAAGAGAATTCTTAATTGGCATATATAGGGCATTTTTATATACCAACAATCCTCTTAAGTCAACAGGAATTTCCCTCCTTGAGTCATGCTCCTTTCTTGCTTCCAAGAGTTTCTATTTTGTTCTCATCTAAATATCACTGTCTCTTCCTATTTCTTACAGTGTTGAAAGTAAAAGGAATGTGAAAGCACTTTGTAAAGAGTAAAGACCTGTAAGATATGGAATAGTGTATACCCAGATGGGAACCAGATTTCTTAAGGTGGTATTTCCTAGAAATGTATTTAATTATTGGACTGCCTGGGCAATGGAACTCGATTGCTATTCATTCTTTCATTCAGGAAGATTGCCTTCCTGTTTTCAGTCTTTTCACCCTCCATCCTTCACGTAGCTATACGAAAGAACATTCTTAAAAAAACACAATTTTTATCATCTTACTTTTGCTTTTAAGTCCAAACTCTTATCATATATGTAAGGCCTACATTATTTGACATCAGATGACTTTTATTTAACCTTATTTATATTTTTGCCACCTATAATTGCACCTCTAAAGAAGTCTCCCTATACTTCTGAATTTATATCCATTTCTTTTTGCATGTTTAACTACTTTTACTTTATATATACTTTAGCACTTAAGTACATAAAGTTGTATGAGTTGTGGATTTAAAAAAAATAATCCTTTTTTCTCATGGTGTTTTTACTTCTTAGATTCTACTTTGATGTAACTCCTATTTTCTTTTTATTTATGTTTACCTTTTCCTCTTAAGCTTTCTGAATCTATTTGTTTTAAATGTGTCACTTCCAGACACTTAAAAAAAATCATATCCAAGGGATTTTTTGTGTGTGTGTGTGAGGAAGATTGGCCCTGAGCTAACATCTGTGCCAGTCTTCCTCTGCTTTGCATGTGGGACACCGCCACAGCATGGCTTGATGAGTGGTGCGCCCGGGATCCGAACCATCGAACCTCGCCAAAGTGGAGCATGCAAATTTGACCACTGTGCCACGGGGCTGGCCCCCAAGAGACTTTTACTGGGTGAATTTAATTATTTACTGTATAATTGGTAATTGGTAAGCTTTTTAAAATGCTTGCTATTTCTTTTCTGTCTTTATGTTTTCTTTGGTTTCTTTCTACATTTTGCTTATGTGATTTGAAAGGAATACATTGTTTTACATTTTGCCAATAATCTTCTTTTTGTGTGTGTAAGGAAGATCAGCCCTGTGCTAACATCTACCAATCCTCCTCTTTTTTTTTTTTTTTTTTGCTGAGGAAGACTGGCCCTGGGCTAACATCTATGCCCGTCTTCCTCCACTTTATGTGGGACGCTGCCACAGCATGGCTTGCCAAGCCTGGGATCTGAACTGGTGAACTCCGGGCCACTGCAGCGGAGTGCGTACACTTAACCACTTGTGCCACCGGTCCGGCCCCCTTGCCGATAATCTTTAAAAAATATTTTATGGGAATTTTTCTAATTATATACATCAACTATAAATAGTATCTTCTGGTTCCTCTCTTTGTAAGATGAGAAAATCACTGTTACTTTCTTTCGAACATTTCTTCCTATTTCTTAGTTTTATTGGTATAACCTGGGAGTGATAGCTAGTTTACTATTTTCAGATGATTATTTTACGTTAACTTCTCTTTTGAGAATTATCATTTACATTTTATCCTGAAATCATATATTTAGACATACTCTACATTTAAGTTCTTTTAGCAACCGCTACCAGTCTTTAAAACCTTAGTCTTTATTTTAATTAATCTCAAAGTAGCTGGAATATTTTTCTCTCTTTCTCATTCATTCATTCGTTTAACATCTGTGATTCAAGACTTAATTTTCCCACAGGAAAATGGGTAAAGTAAAAGGAATATGTGCTTAGATCTCATAAATCCTAATCCGTTATTTTTTCTTTATTGCTGCTTTTCATTTTCTTAGTGTTAGAAACACAGTCGAGCATGGTTGTTAACAGTGAAGGCTCTGGAGTAAGCCCATTTTCAAATCCACGCTCTATTGTTTACTAGCTGTGTGGTCCTAAGCAAGTTACCTCAACTTTTTGAGCCTCAGTTTTCTCATCTATAGATAATATAAATATTATACTATAATATTTATAATTTATGTATTTATATTTACATTATAGAGATAATATAAATGGGGATAATGTACCTTTTTCATAGGGCCATTGTAAGCTAAGTATTAAAAGCAGTAATTCATGTAAATCATTTAGAAGAGTCTCTGGCACTCAAAAAGTGTTAAGTGCTGTTATTATCATCTCTAGTATTTTAGTGTTCTTTCCTAAATTGACATACCACATCTAACTTATTTTGGAGAGTTTTTCAGCATTAGGACAAGCATAACCACTTAATAAAAGATTGGATGATATTGTTATAAGGTATGAAAAGTACTTTAAATTAGAATAATTTTGAATGTAAAAGTAACATACTAATCATGAAAATCACTTACAGAAGTCCAATGCAGTAACACAACAGCATGGTTCACAAAATATAGACAAAGAATAGTGAATATTTCTGTTTGCCACCTAAAGTTGTGCTGTCTTGTAGCTTTAGTGTAAGACAATCTCTTAAACAGTGATTCTTGATTAATTAAAAAAAAGAAAAACCCCTGGAAATTGACATTCTTAAAAATATTTATGCATGAACTAGGACTTGATAAATGTTCCAAATGTTATACTATTCCAAACAGGCATAATTGAGATTTACATAAAACATGAACAAACTCGCTCTTCCTTTTGCCTTCATGTGTGAATTACTACTTAACTGGGTAGAAAACTCATGGGTTAGAATTTTCTCTTTCAGAACTCCGTGTATGTTGTTTTATTGTCTTCCTTTGCTACAATTGTAGTACATAATGTTGTAAAATCATTGGAAACTAACTAGTTTTTTTCCCCTTTGGATACACACACACATTTTTCACATAACAGTTTCCATATCAGACTATGCCAGGTTTCTGATTTTTCTGTGTGTCAGGATATATTTCTAAATATTCTAGGCAGAGGTAGAGGAGAAGACAGGGAGAAGAAAAAAAATCCTTCCTCTTCCTAGACCATCCAATAATCTATAGGGAGGGGGTTACTGCTTGCATGGGTAGGGTTATCCCTACCCATGTGGATGCAGCCTTTTCTGCTTTTCCTCAGAGCTAAATTGCAGTTTGGATGCTGAGGAAGGTTTATTTCTTCATTCTTCACTTCAAGTCCTCAGGGAATAGATCCAAAATTATGCAGAGTTGGGAGAGGGATTGGTTTTCTGCTTTAAGCTTTTTACCTCGTTTTCTTGAACCATACAAAAAGCAAGCCTAATTAGGCTCTGGCAGGTGCTAAAATCGACGCTCTCTCCTTCCTCAACACTCTCTCCCTCTTTACTGCTTCTTCCTCGCAGAGTCTCTTCCTTAAAGTTTACAGAAAAGCACCACCCTTTTCTACAGTAGTTCATGTGCTCATTCATTTATTTAACAAATATTTATTTTAGGTGTCTGTTTACATGCCTGGAGCTCTTTTGAATATTGAAGATAGTGCAGTGAACAAAACTAACCAAGTTCTTTCTTAGGTCTTGCAAATGTTGCAGCTTCCTAACTTATTGTAGAAGCTAGTCTGCCTGATTTCTGCTGGCTCTGTAGATGTGTGTTTTTAGGACTATGATTTCTTCTGGCCTAAATACTTTCTAATATCACATGATGGGGATTAATTTCTTTCAGAAAATCCCCTCATCTAGTGAGCTTGAGAGATCTTTCTATTCATATAATATGGTTTCTCCAGCACTTTCCTCTCCTTTCCTGAATCCTTTCCTTCCTTTAAGTTTTGATATCTTCACAAAGCTGTCAACGATTAAGAGGCATAAACTGTGTCAGAGAATCAAAAATGTTTATTTGGGGTCTTAGGAATTGCAATTTGGGAGACACAGATTCCAGTAGAAACTGAAATGTGCTCCAAGGAGAACAAAAGAGGCAAATCTTTATAAAGGCAAAAAGAGACAAATTCCAGCAAAGTTAAGTAGGTTGTTTTGCAAGATTTGTGATTGGTGCTGGTGACATCTGTTACTTCTTGGCTATATGTGATTGGTTGCTAAGGCCATTTCTAAGGCAGAAAGTTCTTATCTATGGAGTGAGCATATTTCTTGGAAGAAAGTCAGGATGATAGCAGTGAAGCACAGTTCAAAAGTTTACATTCCACCTAGGTAGAGACGTACATAACACCCCACTTGCCTAATGACCTCCTGGCTCCATTTTAGGTGCCCTTGACATGTGGGACTCCATTTTGTAATCACCTTCCACAAAGCCTCCTTCAATATATAGTGATTTCTTCTTCTAGCTTTATAGCACTTGCTGTCTTGTCTAGCTTTATCCAGTAGAAATATATTGCAAGCCATGTGCTTAATTTTAAATATTCTAGTAGTTACATTTAAAAAGTAAACAGGTGAAATTCATTTTAGTAATATATATATATATATATGTGTGTGTGTGTGTGTGTGAGGAAGATCAGCCCTGAGCTAACATCCATGCTAATCCTCCTCTTTTTGCTGAGGAAGACCGGCTCTGAGCTAACATCTATTGCCAATCCTCCTCCTTTTTTCCCCCAAAGCCCCAGTAGATAGTTGTATGTCATAGTTGCACATCCTTCTAGTTGCTGTATGTGGGATGCGGCCTCAGCATGGCCGGACAAGCGGTGCGTCGGTGCGTCGGTGCGTGCCTAGGATCCGAACCCGGGCCGCCAGTAGTGGAGCATGCGCACTTAACCACTAAGCCACGGGGCCGGCCCAGTAATATATTTTATTTAATCAAAAACATGAAAAAAGTTATCACTTCAACATATAATGAATATAAAAACATTAAATGAGATATTTTACTTTTTTAATACTAAGTCTTCAAATTGGACTAGCCACATTTCAGATGCTCAGTGACCATATTTGGTTAGTGGCTACCATATTGGACAGAACAGGTCTATTTATTCATTTAGCATATTATACTTCCTTGATACTGTACTTAATTTTAAACAAAGATGGGAATGGAGAGATGGAGAGATACTGTGCTTTTTTG